AGTCGCACACATAATTAACATCATACCTTTTTACACTCGGAACAAGGAGATGGAAACGTCGCTATGTGATATTATCCTGAAACTTTTAATATTCTTTCTCTTTATTTCACGAAGATTAAGTTAATACTGTGCTTTTGCTAGATGGGGAGTATACGTAAAACTAAAATAACTTCAACGACAACTCGACAAAGCTTTATTTCGAAATGTTCGCTTAATTTTCAACTTCCAATTCAGCACGAGAATTAAAATTCTCTTGCACAAAAGTCTAGTAAATTCTTTATGATAAAAACGGAAAAGAGAGAGCACGAAGGAAGAAACTTTCTTCGGTCGCATCAATTCTCGTTTCTTATATTTCGCGCTCGGTTCGACGATTCCAACGTGCTAATCAATATTTACGCCCTTTTAACCCAAGGAATAATATTAATTATATTTTTTGAAACGGTGAACCATTTTTTACAATGACTACGTATAAATACCTATCAATACTCACATAAATCACAAGAAACTACAAACTAATGTAAATCAACATATATAGCAGTATTATATTGTGTACATTTATTTATGTAAAATATTTTGCAATAATATTCTCTTATAATATATTACGGAAAAAAATGGTTTTGCTAAAAGTGTATAAAAAATGTCTAAAAATTTAGATACAGATCTGAAAATAATTTTATCAAATTATCAAAATAATTAATGTAGGACACAATTGATTACTACAAAATATTGCTCATCATGTTTGTTTCCGTACATATTTATAATTACTTTCATAATTTAACATTTAAAATTATTTTCAGATCTGTATCCCGCTAAATTTTTATAAATATTTTAGCAAAATCGTTTCATAAAATAGTCATAATTTCGTCAAGATTATCCATTTCTGATATTATTCTTATTCTGAACTTCAATTGGATAAAAAGTTTTCATACGATACTACTTTTCTACATTCTTACGCGACTTTGCATTTTTGAAAAATTATGCTCACGGTTATCCTGTTTGAAGAAAAATCGCCGACTTTTCGCGTATTTCAACATGCGCGATGCTCACATGTTACTGTCAAGTTTAAGGTCAAGCAAAAAACGCCATTTTCCGGCAGTGGCTCAGCGACGGACGTAAGAGGATTAAGCTAGTTTTCTTCCCACCGGATTTGGTGCATCGCACCAGCTGCTGCTGCTGTCGCCCACTTTCTGCTTATTTCGTTTCCTTTTGACACATGATGATTATGACAATTAATATGAATTTTCATCGACTTGTCTGCTATTGGCTTCATATTTGACGATCACTTATTTTAACACTATTCGATCATTCTTCAAATAGGATTTCTTCCGCAATCGTATAATATTTTAAAAGCATTAACATAATATTATAATAAAATGTAAAAATTCTACAAAACTATCAAAATCATACAACAGTAATACATAATAATATATAATATACATACATAATTTTTAAATTTTTAAACAAAGTTGGTCAATGTTACTCGATCTCTGATATAATTAATTGTCCAAATTATACTTGTATTGTTTGCATATTACTCAAATTATATTTGTGCCAACAATATGTCGAAACAAAGATTTTAATTATAAATAACAATCAAACAAGGAGTATATAAGATTATCGTTAGATGTTTTGCGAAAATTATGATTCTTTATTAACTACATAATACAAATATATAAAACATTTTTCATCATTATCGGATCATCATTATCGGATCATCCTGTATACCGAAAATTAATATTTGAAAAGTAATTAAAACGCATAAAACGATCAAAACGATTAATTCGGTAATAAGAAAAAGTAAGATAATAAATTATTCCACCTGCTGATCTGCCGTTACTCGATACCTCTCATAAATTGTCGGATTCTCCTCCTTCCTCTCGAATTTCTTTACTGCACACACACACGCACACACGCGCACACACGCACACACACGCGCACACACACATATACATGGAAAACACATTAGCGCAATTCTTTTCACTCTCGACGAACCGTATGACGAAACTTCGAAAACGATGCGTCAAATTTGAAAAATACAGAAAAGAAGTTATCAAGAAAATATGTATCGCCCGTTAAAAATCGATAATTTTTAATTTTCTTCATCACGTCGATCGCGAACAAAATATATCCAGATAAGTAACAATCGTTTCGTTATGCTTACAAATTGTTAGTCGTAATGGTAATTTATTAGTAAATTAGAATACTCCCCTGTCTCAAAGCTTAATAAAAATACACTTATTCGATGTGTTTTCACTCAAAACGAAAGAATCTGGCAAAACGTCGTAATAGTTAAATGAGTGAGCCGATTGCTAATTTTAATAATCGTCACGAATGATCGCATTTTAATAGAATAATGTAATCATTAATGTAATACGGAGCGGCTCGTACCGCTGCTTGCCCGATCGAGTCTCACTGTGCGAATGATACCGCAATGCATGACCTTGCGTAAACACAACACCACGCGTCGTACGTTGTGCGCCAGCCAACTCGTCGCCGTTACAAGATATGTATTTGCTATTATAAAATATTTAACGTCGTTTTGCTCCGTTATTTTCGATTAATTATGATATATCGGCTATTGCCGCACAGCGATAAGCTTTTTGCAAGAATTTCGTTCTAGACACAAGTCGGCAAGTTCGTTTATTATCGCACTCTTAATTCGAAGACAATAATGCCCGTTTCTATCAATTTTTATCAATGTAGATTAACTCAAATTTCGATTCTTACCTTTCATCCTTTTTTAATTTTTACTAGAACTAGAAAAAGATGAAGAGTTAGTTAAATCAAAATTAAAATTAAACTATACTCGAATAGAAACGGACATAAGTGAATTATGTTAAACAGTGTTTGTATTCTGTAATTTTTCTGTAACAAAAGTGTCGTTATATCGTTGCGCATGTATTATATGATGAAAAAGCTACGACGATAACAACGAATTGTTGTTAAGAATTACAAAATATAGACACTGAGATCTGTTCGGATCTATTTGACTTAAAATTTATTAATTTATTTTCTTACTAATATATTATTTAAAAACTTTTTTCTCTAATATTTGATAACTTTGTTTGTTAATGTAAAAATTTTTTAATTTTCATTTTTTACAGCTTTTATTCACATTAATCCAAACAATATGATTATATAATAAATTTCAACTGTTAAAATGATAAAAAATCAAAATCGCGATAGTATAAATCTGAATGCACGAGAAATACACGTATATGTGAAATATCGAAATTCAAGTTTCGTTAAAGAAATACGTAATTATTATTATATTTATATTAATTGCCTAAAATATTTGAAGACCGAGATATGCACATACATATATAAAAAATATATATAATTAAAATATATCAAGTTTTCAAACGATATGAAAATACATGGCATATAAAATTATAATTAAAATCCTGTCTTGAAATCTGATGCAAATTCTGTAATTACAAATCCCCTAAAACGGACTTTAAAATAGAAATCAAAATTCGCGTATAATATTTTTTCCTATTATTATATTCATTAATATCCTATTAATTATATTCATTCGTGAATATTAAAGAACATTATATTGTAACATATTCTTATTAATATCGATCAAAATCCGTATGTATATAATGTTTAAACACAAAAAAATTGAAAAACAAAATCAACGAGACAGTAAAAATTAATATCAATTTATACAATAAAAATTAATATTAAATGACAAATCGATACGTGTGTAAAAGTAATTGTAGATTTAAATAAATTTTTTATATGTAATTGACCAAGTTTGATTTTATAATTCGAAAATTATTGTAATTTCAATAATTTATAATTATATTTTTTTATAAAATTTTAAAAATATTATATTTTTTATAAAAACGATTTAAATTTAAAATCAATTGTAAATTAATAGTTTAAACATTTAATTCTTACTCTTTTAGATCAAAATAAACAGTAGGTAGAACAATATAACACGTGATTATTTGAAAGGATAAAAAATACATTTATGTGAGACTCTATATACATACGGATTATATATACGGATAATTCTTAAATCAGATAATTTTTTTTGCTGTTCTAGTACATCTTTCTGATTGAAAAAAATAGCCTTTCATTCATGATACTTTTAAACAATACGAATATCTCCGACGTTATTTAAATGTATTATAGTTATTATATTTGCATAATAAAAAACTTCATATACTCATAGTTTTGAAATTATTGAGAGAAAAAAATAAAGGTTCTCTTTGTCTAACTAACGTTAATCACTAGAAATTAATAACGAGAATGCTCTGAACAGTTATTACATAACATATTTTTATTATCTATCTATAAAAATATCTATTCTGCGTATACGTTAAATCTCAGACTTTAACCTGATAACACGTTTGCGAAATTGAATATTTATGGGATATGTATTCTATCGATCTTTTTATACGTGTTCAATCTTATGGTCCACCGTATTATGTAGGCCGATATTTCTTACTTTACTTCAAGTAAAGAGGATAGGATCAGATTAAAGTTTTTGCGGGACGGTCGGAAAAATCGATATACCAACTCTAACGAGAAAGCGTTCTCTAAACTCATCTCAGGATCAAGCCGGATTAAATGCGCAAAGGATTAAAAATTACTCAAGCATTGGATTACGTCAACACCGAAAGGAAATTATTTTACATCATCCACGTTATCTCTTTAAAGTCGTTTACGCATAAAATGCTGTACATATTAAACAGAATATTAAATTATATGGATTTCGACAATTTTACAAAATCTTAAATTTTGAGATTAAATAAATACATTTTGTCTATAATAAATTAAAGATTTAATAAATATTGTATTTTCAAAAAATTTTTTAGCGATATTTGTAGCGATATTGATAATCGATTTAATTATCATGCTAAATATAATATATATTCATTAATAATTTCCAAAGTGTATTATATTTAATACGTTAAAATGCACTTTTAATGTATTGTAATAATAATATTAATTCCAAAATAGCGATTAATAAAATTTTAGTTACTTACAATATGTGCTATTCGATGTGGCGTTTTGGCGCGATAGTTTGACCTGCAAAAAAGAATTTTAATAAGATTTCTTATTAAATGCATACATATTACATTAGAAATAAATTAGAATTAAGTTAACTACTCTTTGCTCATTTTTCAAATTTCCCTTCATGAGAATCTAATTCATTTTTTTGAAGTAAAAGAAAGTATTATGTATTTATATTGTATTTCTTTCGCAAAACAGTTGCAATATATGATACGAGAAGAAACGTCAAATTTGCTTCAAATTCATTTCACAGAATACTGTATTACGCATTCTTGAATTCCTGAGATTCATTTTAATCGCATTTTAATCGCATAACTGAACCACCCGACTTCATACTAGCTTCCAAAATAGTGGCACCGCACGAGCTGCTCGAGAATTCAGATTAGATTCGGAGGATGTGCGAACAGGCCTCGCTTATAACTCTATCGAGCGTGCATATTAGCATCGAAAAGAGAAAGATACCTCGCATGTCTTTTTATTCTATTTTCTAGGCGATCAATTGACCAGAAGGTCGAAGAATCTCTCTCAGCGTCATTCGTGCGCGACATCCAATAAGGCACCTAAAGCTCGACAATAGTCGAAGGATTTCACAAGGTATAAATCTGCAAGAATAGCTCTGGCATGGAAATCGCGAACGTCCGGATCGACGTCTGCAGTCGTCGAATAAGAATTTCCTATGTCCTTCCTTGTTATCCTATTTGATCCTACGTTTATTGTGTCATCACGAACGTGAAACCGCGTTTCGCCGCGCAAAAGGGAGAAACAGTAATTGAAGGGCTGCTACTGCCCGAACGTGCCGCATGAGAATGCGGTTTTCGCAGCTGCAGCTGCACGAATCGAAGCGAAACGTAGTTAGCGGCACGTCGTACGTGCCACGCGATTTCTCGCGAGACCGTTCGGTCGCATTCGCGCGAATTAATTACGACCCGGATATAACTCGGCGAAAATAACCGTCTCCCATCCGACGGTTATTTTCGCCGATGGAAAATGTTGCGGCTTGTTTGCTCGTGTGTACGCGTCAGAAATCACGATTATTATTTCCTGAACGCTCGCTACCGGCTGCATCTCTCATCGACTATTTGCCGTGGTAAGTAAATGCCGCACTTCTCTGCGTGGCGCCGCGCCGCGCCGGAACATCGGCGTGTTTTCGCTCTCACCTCTCGTGTTGCTTACGCGAGCTTATGTAATGTAATTATATTCCGATGATGCATTCTGGACGAAAGAACGAGTATCTTATATGTTACGCTAGTTCTATACGAATTTTTCAATAACTACTCATCTGAAACATTTTTTCGATGGTAATAAAATACCGTTTTACATGAGAAATAAGAAAAGAATTTTTTTGTTAGAAAAAATGTGATGATATTGATATTATCAAAAATTAGGTCTGTGAAATTCATAATGTTAAATTATACCTAATTTGAATTATTTTTAATCATTTTTATAGGCCATGCCATTGCTCTTACTTATATTTAATATAGCATCAATTTAATTAAAATAAATAATAAAATTAAACGGTTTAAATTAAGAAAATGTATTAAATTTCTGCAGAAACGGATTGATTTACATTTTAATATATAAAGAAGTTATAAAAATAACAAAATGTAAATCGTTCATTTCTATAATTAGTTTTAAGTAAATAACGTTTATATTAATACACTTAGTAAATAATACATTTAATTTAAATCCAATTTAATACATTTTCTTGATTTAAATCATTTAATTTCACTGTTTTAGTTAAATTAACGACGTAGAAGCAGACTACCTACAGAAATGATTAAAATAAATTAGATGTAACTTAATAATATAAAATATAACAATAAAATATAGATTTGAAAATAATTTCTAAATAAGTTGAATTATCAAAATAATTATATTATACGTCCAAACTGATGTTAGAATGTCAAAATTTTTTGCAGCATTACTCATCGTGCTTGAAATTCTTACAAAATTATTTTCAAGTCTATATAAATTTTTAGATGCTTCAACAAAATCATTCCTTTCGTCATATCATAAATAGCTATGTAGACTACGTACGATTTTAGTATTTATGCTCTGTTAGAAAGGATCGAACATATCAGCATCTTCTCTTCAACTCAATACTTTAAAGAAAAACAGTAATATGATTCAAACTACCTCACTCTTTCTAAACCGACAGTGACAACTTTGGAGAAATGCGCAGTCTATTCTACAAAATACACAATCTGACAATAGATTTGTTCGCGTTGCTTATATAACTTTTTCCATTCAAGATCTTCAATTTTTCTCTTTTCAACCTGAATAAATATTTATCTCAAGTGCAAAGTATATTTTTACAAAATATATATTTATTTCGAGTGCAAAAATTTTTAAAAATTTCAAACAACGCGGACAAATCTCATCCACACTATCACTGTTCTTCTTTTTTTTACAATTTCTGATTTCTTTACACTTTCGATTGCGGAGCTTGCGCGAATTCCGTGATTGGATCTAAGTCAACAGACGAAAGAACTGCAAACGAGGGGGGGGGGGGATCGGATCAATCAATCGTCCATCGTCGAAACGGATAGCGCCATAAATTCTATCTCACGAATTTCGACAGGTCCGTGTGTGTAACCAGGCGCAACTGCGGGCGAAACTGCAACTGCAAACCGACTGTAATTGGAAGGGCCGTGGGGCGTGTACTATGTACCCGTCGCGTATATGGAAGTTATCGCATAGAAAGACCGTGATCGAAATCGAAAACCTCCAGGCGCGTATCGGTAGCGTTTTCGGCATTCGAATTAGGCGCGTCGACACATAACACTTTAATCAAATTGCCACACACATTCGAGCTGACAGTTGCAGCTGCGTTACAAACTTCCAATCGCGCGCAAATTGGCTATCATAAATCAACGTCATCGTCGTAAGTGGCGTACCTAAGTAATTCGAATATTACTTCACAGAGATTACGCAAACACCACGATTTTACCCTAATAGCTTTATCCGGGATACATTCTGGGAATGTCTTTAGGATGTTCACAAGATATACGGACGTTTTCTGAACGTTTTTTCTCCTAGAAATCTGTATTGTTAGGATACGTACTGTTAAATCTATAGAGAAAAAGAGAATATCAAAATTTAAGTTAACCTAAGTCACCACTGCTCCTACTCAATATGTATCGTTATTTTATACTAAAACAATGACTAAATTAGAAATTTTATTATAGATTTAACAATGTAATGTTTATATTCAATTTGCCAGATCTGAATTTGTAATTTTATATCAATTCGTACAGTATGACAGAAACAAGTTGCTTAGATTATATAATTTTAAAAATTAGTATATCCCATGTATAAATTATAAATACAATATTAATATAAGGTGATCATTGACCATTTATATACTAATTAGTTCTTAAAGAATTAAAGCATATAATTAAAATAATAGATAGATTTGTAACATAATTTCATGGATGATTAAAAGTAACATTCGTAATAATGCAAAACAATTTAACTGAGTGCAAATAAGAATACTCACAAATAGCAGTGCATGATTATAATTTTACGTAATTAGCGTAAAATTTGTATTCTTCATGTATAATTAATATGTAAATATACTTTAATTTAATTTACAATTAAATTGCGCATTAATATTCATATTGCCTTTTCACGTCATGATTCAAATTGCTTATTACTTTTGACAATTGAATTTAGAGCAATTCGATTTGTAAAAATACTGATAACATGATGTAATTAGAACTCTATTTTACCTATGTAGTAAATATTATTCATTTCGATATATATAGAAACGCTTGAATCTGATGATATAAAACTCATTGGCTGAAGTTTCGTTTCGAAAAAAAATTATCACACGCGTAATACTTTATATCCGCATTAGTTTGAAAGACTATACAGAGTGAAACTTTTGTGTGTTGTCCCTTGTATTTTCTCCGTCTTTCTCGTGCGTTCGTATTTGTCCAGAAGAATATCCTGTGTGACAATAATCGTAAAAATGTTGTTTCCCGAAACGTAAAATCCGTTGTGTTAGTTTAAAAAAAAGCTATCAGAGAATTTAAGCTATCGTAAATTCACAAATAGTGATGCTCACTCCGATCCTGCATGATAACGTAAGCCCAGAGCAATTTATTTCGATTAAATTTAATCACGATATATGACATGTTTTTTAATTTGTATTTATAAAGCTGATATAAAAAAAAAACTTGAGAAAAGAACTGTGTCCAAACTCTGTCGGAAAGATTTAATCCCACGTCTGTAGCAAGTTGATCGTTCTCCGGAGTAAAAAGGAAACTTTCGATTTAAGAAACCTTTGTTTACCAAATCACGTTACTAGATTTTTGCTAACGACTTTATGGGGAGTTCGCAGATTTCATTTCCGAGTGGGCCGTAAATCCTAGAAACTTTTCAAATTAAATTTCTAAATTGCGCTTGATCTAGCACAGGGCACTCTCGGTCTCGCTTAACTACCTTCCTTTATTTTTCAAGCAGGCGAGAAAGTCCGGACAGTTTGACGAGCGTTTACAGAGTTTCGTTCGGGAATTCTCGGCGCGCAACTTTCGGAAGTCCTGGTCGAGAAGTCCTATGGTGGAAATAATGAATCGCTTCGCACTACGGATGATAAATGTGGCTTTGATAAATCGCAACATCCGCCACTAAATTTGTACTATGATATAATGAAAATGTGCTCGTACAGCTAAAGCTTTCCGTCTTGCCTGTTATCAGGATTAATGAACTCAACTCGAAAGGTAGCGTAAGTAAGAGAGATTTGCAATTTCATTATAACTTCAACTAAAAATATCTAAAACTTTTTGTCGTGAAAAATAAACTGTTTTTCTGTTTCCCAAGAAATAAACAAACGGTGCATATTACGCGCACAGAATGAGCAATACATGTTTTTTCACAATTTCCTTTATCTCTACTGATTTCTCTGGATGAAAGTTTAGTAAGAAATTATTATTTTTTTCACATCTTTTATTCAAAATTAATCCTTCGGAGGGTTTATGATGAATCTATTGATCTACTCAAAATTATTCTTT